ATTATTCAAAACCATCATCGTTTTATCAGAATCTCGCATAGCGTCTAGTGAATGTGTTATCGAGTATGAATATTACGAAACAAGAATACTACGAAACAACATCCAAAACTACGGTTTACATACAGTCAGACATACATCCCGACCCTACCCAATAAAAACAGAAGGCAACTTATTTGTCTAGCAAAAGCATTTTCCAAGCAAAAACAATGAATTTGAACAAATKAAAATAAATGGTTTTTGATAATACTTACAGACAAGTATGATGTGTCATCAGAGAAAGCCACACTAGATTCATCATCATCATCCTTGCTGTCACTCATGAACACTCTAGGTTGGTATGATGGAAAGAATGTAGAGTTACGAAAGCCCATCATCTGGTAGTGTGACGATCTCTTGGCTGTCTGTTACAAAAAAGCAAGCATGCCAAAAAAATCTGAGTGTTAAAGAGATATCGCCAACTTCAAGGCTACAGGGCGACTGCGTAGACTGAGCGTTTTGTCGCTTGTTTACACTGGCCATTTTCCTGCAAATTTTTTAGCTTTTTGACTGTCGGCAAAACAAACACAGCTCATTTTGCAGCATCACATAAACTTACCCTAGCTCCTGATCTTGGTATATTAGGAACTCTACCAGGTACTGGTAAACCCGCTTTGGCAAGCTTAATGAAATATTTCTGTACTCTACTAGCAACCTACAACAAAGACAGTACTGTTATACACTCTGGGGGAGAGGGAGAAAGGCAAGTTTAGTGTCCTTAGTGGGTGAAAAGCAGAAGTTCAGCAGACCTACCTGTTTGGGTGTTCTGTTTCCAAGTGCTTTTGCAATCTTTTCCCATCTTTTTGCTTCAATATCTTCTTGAGGATACACTTGCAGGAGCTTCTCAAGCCGAGTCTAGAATAATCAACAAAAACGAACAAATAACAATAAAGATGTTAATATAAACTTATGTCGGGGAAAGACTGAAAAACATATTTTACCACATAGCATTGAACATTGACATTTTACTAACATTTTAACTGGCATTTTTTAACCATAATTTATGGATAATAATAATTTATAAGTAAKTACTTGTTCTGCTATTGTCCATTGCTGGTTAAAAGTGGGCATCTTTCCAGGAATATTATTTTTGACAGCTTCAGAAAAGATGGTTTCGCTGTGATAGACAACAAGACACAGAAAAGTGGTAAGTACTATCAAGTCAAAATTACCATCTAATTCATATGAAACAAATAGAAAAGTTTTTGACTGCTGGGCCAAGTTGTTCAAATCTCGATTAGTGCTAACCATAGGTTAACTGTTAAAAAACCTATGGAGTTAACCCAGGATTAACACTTTTAATCAAGCTTTGAACAACCCATTCCTGTTGAGTAAAATCATGCAAATTACGAATTCATAAAATGGTTGTCTCTGTTGTACTGACCTGGTGTTACTGTCCGTCACCTCACTGTTCAACAAATTCGCAGCTGGTTGGAGTTCCTGTGTGGCTGAAATCATGTAGCCAAAAGAGTAATTAGCACTAGTATGTTGTACCACAGTTACTCATCTAAATGTCAATATATTAAATAATGTCCTTAATGACAATGAAAAATAAAATGCAAGCAAGCTTTTGAGCTCCAGGGAATAGAAATTGTGAGATTTGCGAGTATTTTAAATGGACCATGCGAGACTGTATATCGTGTCCTTCAGAATATTCTGCTATATTGCCAACCAAAATACTACAATACTGTAAATGAGGCTGTACCTTTCTCAGAATTAGAAGCTGTTGATGACCTTGTATGGTGTTGTATGGGAAGAGACATATCTATTGGACCAAAGGAGGAGGCATARGACTCCCAAGGAATCTTGGGTAGCTTGATAACATTCTGTGGTGATGGGAGGCCAAGGGGTTCCTACAAAATAGTAATAAAATAGTTAATCAAAAATTCCATAGGATAAATTTACATAAAGGAAATGATATAAGAATATGCAGAGATTTTCACCTCAGGACCAGATTGTTCAAAGCCTGATTAGCAGTAATCCAGGGTTAACTCCATAGGTTTTTAAGATTTAACAAAGGATTAGGGCTAATTGGGCTCTGAACAAACTGGCCCATTAGTCAAACACCAAAAAATCAAGACGAGGTATAAGCTTGGGGCTTGGGCCCTGGCAAGAACCTTTGAAATGACTAAAAAGCTGGAGACACCAGAGGACAAGGCTTTATACAACGAAAATGCATCGCTCATATGAATAAATGGTACATTTGACTTACATTATTTTGCAGTTTTTCTACAAATCCTACTGGATCGTCTAGTGCTTTTGCCTCTTCAACACAGAGGGCATCCAAATCCTTGAAATGTTAAGAAAATGAATCATTAATAATTATTATAGCTAATGTCAGAAAAGTGCTGTATTAAAACCACAGGGAGCCCACACTATGGATCAGCAGTGCTTACAATAATGCCAGTATTTATAATAGTAAATGTGTGTAATTTACTACTATAAATGATATAATAATGTACCTTGACTGCTTGTACTCTCTGTCCTTCTAGTGCTACTAAAGTTTGTAACAGTAAATGATAACTAAAAGGAAATAATACCAGTTAGGCTAGCTTTAATATCAGGTTTTGTTTTACAAGAGAAGTAGGAAGGAGACTGAGAATGAAGGTGTTTGGGCTCAAGTGAGAATATTATGCTCCATCTTGAAAGGTGGCCATACCTTTGCATCAAAGCGAGACTACCGATTCTCATACTCATTAATTATTCATGAGGTATCCAGCCAATCCCTGATTGTAATTTGTACCACGTGCAGTAACTGGATACCAGAGGAAGTACTCCTACCTTGTATTCTAGCTTATTTCCAGTTACTTCTACCTTATTTCCAGCTACTTCTATCTTATTTCCAGTTACTTCTACCTTGTTTCCAGCTACTTCTATCTTATTTCCAGTTACTTCTATAGCTTTTCCTAACTACTACTAGCTAATAATAATCAAAGTATTAGAAATAATCAACTTAATATAGAATTAATTTAGTGAAAAAAGGTCTTTGATAAATGACTCCCTCACGAAACGATCCCGAACCGTCCAATCTATATGCGCCGTCTTATACCATTACACCACCGAGTTTCTGATGCGATTCCTTGGAAGATAACATACTTATAAAACTTATGAATTAGACTCATTAGGAATGCCATGAAAAGCAAACAAAGACAATTTGAAAAGCTGTTGTTTCAGAAAGCCGTTCGGGAATTGGAAAACAACAAACGGTGCTTCTTTATTCAAAATTATGAAAACTGAAAAACTTAGTGGAGATGAAATAAATCAATATATTTCTGTTATATGTATTTCCTTCGCTTTTTCCCCTCCCGAATAATTAATGAGTATGAGAAGTCGTTCAAAGTCCTCCAATTCGGACTGGACGGGGTTTCAAGTCCGCGCAATTAGTTCCAGTCCGAGGTGTTGTCGGACTTTAAACATTACTAGAAACCTTCTTTCGATGCAAAGGCACAGCTACCTTTCAAGATAGCACAGGAAACTGCAATTGGGACAGAAGTTGAGTAAAAGCACAATAACAAATGCAAACCTTCAGTCACCATCAATGGTTATCCATTTGAACTTAAATCTCACTCAAAAAAATCAGGTTTTACAACAGTTCACTAGCTAGACTTTCCTTTTGTTGGGCTTTTGAGGGGGACAAGAAACCTGAAACAACAGAAACTGCATCTACTTACTGCTTGTTATCTTTGAGCGCCAAATAGTCAGACTCAAAGAAAAATCTTTGATATGGATCAATCTCTTCATCATCATCATCATCATCTGACATGTGTGGGCCAAGTTCATCAAACAAGCTTACTTTAGTGTCAAAATCCTCAGTAGCACTTCTTACAGTTTC